GTTAATATCCTAGATTATATAGATAATGACTAATTAATTAGTTCAATTGTATTAAATATCAATACATATAATACTCTCGTGACGTGTTCAAATTTTCTAAATTGATTAATAATTAAATTCTAATTAAACAACAAACTTAAATCCTAATTTAATTGAATGACTGTGTAGTTCTAAGCCTAATTAGTTTAAGATAAATATAACATATTTGTGTAATCACCTTTCAAAACATCCTAGTTGTTATATCTCACTCAATTACAGTCAAAGTCAAGGAATTAAATGCTTAAAGTTAAAGCCAAATAAGGATTTAAGTTCGAGGAATGATTTTTATGGGGTTTAATTTGAAATTGCTAGTACTCAAGAGGGCCCGAAATGATATAAAAATAAATCTTGGGATTTAGCTTCTAATATGATAAATAAGATGACTAAATGTTAAATTATAAAAGATTGGGGACTTGAATTGTAATTATATTATAGTTACCTATTGACTTAAAGTTGTTAATAATCCAGACGACTTAAACCCAGAAAATCTTGAAGGTTCAATATCATATCTTCACGTTATATAATCTGTTTCTTTCTTGATATGTCTTCTGTAAAATATATATTGTATAAATTTTATTGGGTTTTTAGATGGTTAGGGGGTGAATCGAGCAGAAGAGTGGTTATTCTATACACCAAGAGATAGAGAAAACGAAATTTAGAACATTTGGAATGGAACTGCTGTTGATGGATATTGGCCAGTAATAGGGGACGATGGAACTATCGTTTATAATGATGAAACTCGTGGATTTTGAAAGACTTTAGAATTCTACAAGGAAACCCACCTTGAGGTGACAAGACTTCTTGGATCGTGCATGAAATTAAAACGAATGATGATCAACAAAGTGTCGCAGTCTTGCAGATGATAGTAACTTATTAGATATTTGCTTTTGCAAGTTTTCGTAGTATGTTGATAAGACATATAATTACACATACGGTGGATTTTTTTCCTTTCTTGTAGTTGGACGACTGGATTGCGTATAATATTCTACGAGGAGAACAGATGGAAGGGTGAGACATGGTCGAGTGACGCAGATGATGATCTATGGTTTGATGATTTGGAGGATTTGACGTGTGCAAGTTAATGGAGGTGACGACAAGTATATGCTAAATGAGTGGTCGAGGTGGATTTTCATTCTACTAGAGAAGTACGATCTTTGTTGAAAATGGTAGAAGATAAGCGTGTATGAGGAGTTTTCTCCCTCATCAATGTTCAATTTCTAAAGAATTTTGTATAATATTTTCTGCCTGTCTTACAATTTCAAAGATTCATTTATACCAGTGGCACGACCACAACTTTTCATAAGTGAATAATGATAAGACTTGAATTCACGACCTTCATCTTGATCTTGCCTTTTTCCCACTATTTCTTGTTCAAGAATGTTTTCAATGGTTATGGACTGATCATCAGATGTCTGATCTTGAACCTCTGGAAGAAGAATCTTCTCAATTGCTTCTCGGACGAGCTCTATCTGATCTCGAATTTCCGAACCATTCTTTTCGGCCACTATATCTGAATCATTAAAACCTGATGCCACATGCTGATATGTCTCTCTTTCTTTATTGAACTGAGGCAGTGAGGCCTGCATTCTTCAGAATCAGGGAATCTGATGTGTAATTTCAACTTTCATGACTTCTCGAGCTTCAGATCCTCCGATATTGACATCATACTCGAAAAAGCTTGCGCTTCTGCAAGATAATTTCTGATTTAGTTGAGACTCTCCCGATAACTTCTCTCAGGGTACGAGGTTTCAACAAAATGCAATTTCAACAAGCACTGATTCTTGAATGCTACCACATCTCCAAATATCCAAGTTTTTGGTTTAAAATTGGTCTCTTCACACGATTCCATGACCATATGGCTATCCTTGAGACATTAGTTTCTCAAGAACTGAAATTGGAAGGCAGATTATTTGGTGATGCACTGATCCTGAAAAGGTAATATGAACCACTAAATTTTGGGGCTGTAATTGGCCTACTAAAGAATCCAAGTCCAAGTAGGGTTTGGGCATGTTTTCCTCGAATATTGAGCAATCTAAAGGATACATGTTTGGTAAAAACGTTACTTTCGTATAAGTTGTAGGAATTCACAAAGTGTATAGATAAAAATTCACATATTTGTGGATCCTGCAACTTATAAACTAAATAATGTTATTCATAATCGCTCACTTTCGATAATTGCCCTACTTGACAATTTTTTATATCCTGAATTGAGTATTTGTATAAAAATTATACGAACCAATGAACTTGTTGATCTCTCACGTTTGAAATCATAGTTTTATTAAATATTGGTACGCATCAAAATTACACCTTTAATAATTTACTAAGAATAATTTGCCTTCAAACGTATAAATACTATAGTAAAACTTTAATAAAATAATAATGTAGGGACCAACAAAAATTATTATTTTGGAGGGGTTATTAATTTATTGATAAATGAATAAACTATTGATTTATCAAATATTTATTAATTTATAGAGTATTAATTGTTGTTTTTTGCACAGTAGTGCTAGGCATACAGGCCCAGTACTTACAGGGGTCTTACCGACCCTCATCGAGGCTCGTGTGGGGCCAACCCCATGTGAGGGGTCAACAAGACCCCTCTAGAAGTTCTTTTTTGCAATGGTGATGATTCAGGCAGAGTACCTCTTTGGATTATTGGTAAGTTTGCTAATCATAATTGTTTTTAAAATGTGAATATCAACATATTTGTTATTATCAAGCAAATAAAAAAGCAAAGATGATTGATTTACTTTCTCAAGAGTTTGTTTGTTGATTTGACAAGATGATAAATGCTATCAATTTTATTAACGTGACTTAGAACAATGATTTGAAGACAATAAATATTGCAAATTTTTTTCGACATTGCAAGATTTGGTCAAATGAAGATATTTATGTTGAACCAAAAGTTAGTGAAACGAAGAAATCAATGGATTGCATGAAGCTATTTTTGGTCTACACTATAGAAATGTGATGGATGTCGAGCACCTTTTAAATTATTCTAGTGAAAATAAAGCGGTGATGACATCTCCTATTGATGAAGATATTATTCAAGAGGTACTCAATACACATATCAATGATAATCATGATCCAAATGATATTTGTGTTTCACCAACTATTTTTTCAAAATAGGCATTTCAAGCAGTCGTAACCTTAAATAATTACTTTGTACAAAATAAAAAAAAAAAAAGAAAAAGAAATATGCCAAATGTAGTATGTGCATTGCAAAAAATTTGGGATGAAGTTGAGTTTGGTATGGGTGCCAAAAAAAAAAAAGTAAAAAAGTAAAAGACTTAGATGCTTATTTTGAAAAGGAGGTGAATTAAAAAACATATTGTCAAATTAAAGACTTTTTAATTTGTATTAGTATGTACTTTTATGAATTTAAGTAGTTATTATTTTATATATTCATTGAGCCTCAAAGGATCTCCAATATATATATATATATATATATATGGGTATTAAAAAAAAGGAAAAAAAATGATTCCCCACTAGGAATTGAAAGCCACATTTGGTTGGAAGGGACAATAAAAATGGAAAAAAGAACAAAAGGAATTAAATTAAAGGAATGGATATAAATTAGTTAAAGATCAAATGTGCAGTCATAATATTGTATAATTCTATCGTGCATGCATGTCTTTTGTTAGTGGTCCTATTCACAATCGCACATTGATTGTTACCTTTATTCAGCTCAAAATTTCATTCAAGATACAAGATATGTATATTCACGACCGTTTCTTAAAGAACATACTCAATATAGTAGTATAATCCCTTATAATGATGAAAGTTGGCAAGTCCATTCTAATAGTATAGTCCCTTATAAATTAGTTGATTGATTATTTCATATTGAGTACAGGAAATATGGTGCCCACCTCATTACCAGCGTAAGTTTAAATCCATTTCAAATTGTAATTTTTTATTGCACAAAAAGAAAAGAAATACTATTATTTTTAAATGGAACATGAGTAGTTCTACAACTTGGAAAAAAAATTAATGATTTTCATCAACTAAAGACATGAAGATAAATAAAAGGGACAACAGACAAGGTAGGGGACAAAAATGCCCTACAAGACGGGATACGTGAATGATGACCTCGAGTCGTCCAATTGCTATTCCTAATTCAGAGAAACATTCGAGATAAAGATATGTATAAGATCTGATCTCTTGCTTATGATGGGTAGAACAAAAACTTTTCATTGCTAACTTGAGAAGAGAACATAGAACCTTAATTATGTTTCTCTGAAAAAGTCATATATTTAGAGAACTATACTTACAATTTGAACAAAAAATAAAATGAAAAAAGTTCACCAAACCAAACCGTGTCAGATTGGTTTTGGGTTGGTTTGAACCAAAAAATCGATTTGATTCTGTTAATTTTAACAATTAAAAAATGGGTCAAGTTCGTTTCGGTTTAAGAAACCAACCCATCAAATAACCGACCCAAACCCGCTAATACGCTTTTTATTTTAAATTCACCTTTTAAAACTTAAAAACATCGGTATAATTTTTTTCTAAAATAATTTGTTTGCCATCTATGCTTTTTCTCCCAAAATTTCAAATATCATAAGAAAATAAAGCAATAAGAAGAATTGTTTCATGTAAACTTCAAATTTAGATTGTAACTTTGCTTTTCATTTTGATGTGTGTATGTATATATATATATATTTTTTTCTTTTTTTAAGGTAATGTTAACGTATTTACGAAGAAAAATTTACACAAGCATAAAATTCACGATTCATCCAATATTGGAGGTTTTTACATATTTACAGCATGCATAAAATGAATAACTGTAGATTCTTTTTAAGCAGAATATGTGAATGGCTGACAGAATCATGTCACATTTAGAATTTCATAACTCAAAGTTATTATAACATACTAAGCGAATGATAATTGTGCCATTATGTGTAAAATGTACTATTTTGTAGGTTTTACTGCACTTGTATATAGAAAATATACGGCAGCCATAAAAGTAAATCGATTAACTTATAAGATGATAATGACGCCATTAGTTTTACAATGGTAAGAAAATTAGGTACCAAGTCTCCCAAAAAAGGAAGGAGAAAAAAGAGAAAAAGACACCTTACAGACATCCAACTATGGTAGCACCATAATACATGTAGGCGTGCGGTTCCTCTTCAGTGAGTATTTTCAACAAGACAGTTCGAGATGAAAATATGTCAACCTATTGGACAAATGCCAAAACACAGAGGCATCATAAGATCACAAAGAAGGATTAAAAATTCATTGGGTTTGGAAGTAGGATATAGGGTAATGTAACAATTAAATGCCCTTTTAAGTTCTTTATACCTTACAAAACAGTTAATATTCACAACCAGTGTGTAACTTTTATAGTAACCATTATGTAGAACTTGCCATTTGACTTGGTGAAAGTCTTCTCATTATAAAACCAAAAAGTTGTACGAATAAAGAAAGAAAATGTTGGAGGAAACAATCGAAGCTCATTACTTTTGGTTGCAGGAGCCGATTGCATTTGATTTTGATATATCTATGAGGATCCATTGCCTTACCTTCATTTGCATGAAGTTTCACAAGCAATGTTATTTTAGAGGCTATTTCTATTTGAACAGAAACCTATGGTTCGAAAATTACCGTGCATGTTCTAACAGGCTTAACAGCCCCAAGCCCCCATGCCCTAATAGTAGACTTTGAAAATTTTAAGAAATGATTACATATGTCAATGAAAAAAAAAAAAGAAAAAAAAGAAACGAAATTAATTTATGTTCCGACCTCTACAAGAGCATAAGAATTTAACAAAAAAATACATGTTGAAGTTACAATTGAGTAACAAAATATATGCAAGTGCATATTGAATTACAATCAACTTTTTTGCTTTTCATAAAATTTCAAAATTTTCAAAAAAGAAACAAGAAAGACATGCACTAATAGTAATGATCTGGCATTGTCACAACCCCAAGAAAATATGAAGTGAAACCTTCAAAATTTTGGGTTGAAATACAGAGACAAAAGGAGGTCATATTTAACTTCAACTGATTAATATAATGATTAACAAAATGGAAAGTAAACGTTACAAAATGATACTTCTAGAGTGTAACTATGTCATGAAAGGGTAATCGGGGATCTTGAAACAAATTCACTGGCCCCTGTTAGCATGAACCTATTCGCGAACTTCTTGTATTTGTTACCTTATCATTTACAAGGGCTACAAGACTCTTAAGATATCCTTCTAACATGCTTCCTTGATGCCTCATATTGGAGCCAATATATTGAAAATTGAACAATGCCTATCAATAGAAAGATGCATTAAAAATACTAGCTTACTCATACTAAGAAATTCAAAGGTTATCTAGAAATTTGTAAAATAGATTATAAACAAGGTACATATGAAAAAGAAACTCACTTAGACTTGATAAGCATGTTCACTGATCTCATCTATGGCATGTTCTGAACCATGAGCTACCAAGCACTCCAAAACAGTCAAAGTATGGAAAATTTTTGGGTAAAAACTTAAGTAAATTGATTATGTACTCTTAGATAATCATATATGCATGATATTAAAGTAAGGCTAAAATTAGTTCTGTCTTCACTGTACAACCTCTTAGCTGGAAGGTACAAAATTTTCAAATTCAAAGGTAATGCTAGGGGTTATCTAGTATTCCAATCCTACATGTTTATATTTTTTAAAATAGTACAAATCAATTAACTGAGAAGATTAATAACAGACTCAAAATGGGGGAAAAAAATTTTGCTTAGCTTTTTTTTTTATTTTTTTTTATTTTTTATCTTAGCTTATTTTTATTAAAAGATACTCTATAAATTTTATTTTTGACCTCCTAACCCAAGTTGTCTGGGTCTGCCCTGTTCACTGATCTCATCTATGGCATGTTCTGATCCATGAGCTACCAAGCACTCCAAATCAGTCAAAGTATGGAAAATTTCTGGGTAAAAAATTAAGTAAATTGATTATCTACTCTTAGATAATCATATATGCATGACATTAAAGTAAGGCTAAAATTAGTTCTGTCTTCACTGTACAAACTCTTAGCTGGAAGGTACAAAATTTTCAAATTCAGAGGTAATGCTAGGGGTTATCTAGTATTCCGATCCTACATATTTTTACTTTTTAAAACAGTACTAATCAATTAACTGAGAAGATTAATAACAGAACCTCAAAAGGTTGCAAGAATTTCAATTACGAGTATGAGGCAACACAGACATTATCCATATTTATCCAAAAATAACCTACGAGGGAGCATCTCATGTAAAGTTCTTTCCCTCGAACGAATATTTACTATTTATTAGGCTTAACAACCCCATACCCCCATCTTCTAATGGTGGACTTTGGGCAAAAAAAAAAAAAAAAAGGGAAAAAACGAAGGACAACATCCTTATATTATTAGCTTAAGATACAAAATAGAAAAATTAATTTATGACTCAACCTCTACCCGAGCATACGAATTCAACAAAAAATACAAGTTGAAATTACAGTTGAGTAACAAAATATATGCGAGTTCATATTGAATGTTAATAATATTTTTACCTTTCGTAAAATTTCAAAATTTTCAAAAAGAAACAAGAAAGACAAGCACTAACAATAATAATCTCGGACACAACCAAAAGAAAATATGAAGTGAAACGTTCCAAATTTTAGATTGAAATACAAAGACAAAAGTAAGTCCAGTTTAACATCAATTGATTAATATAATGGTCGACAAAATGGAAAGTAATAGTTACAAAATGATACTTCTAAGATTTAATTATACCATGAGAAGGGTAATCAAGAAACTTGAAGCAAACTTCCTTGTCACTGTTAGCAGCAGCCATTTCATGTACTTCTTGTATTTGTTCCTTAACATTAAAAGGGCTACAAGACTTTGAGATATCCTTCTAACATTGCTTCCTTGATCCCTTCCCTTGGAATCAATATACTGAAAATCGAACAATGCCTATCAAAAGAAAATACATTGCAAATGCTACCTTATTCATCTTAAGAAATTCCATGCTTATCTAGAAATTTGTAGAATAGCTCATAAAGAAATTACATATGAAAAAGAAACTGATCGATACTTGATAAGCATGTAATCTCCTGATATCATCTATGTCGTGCTTTGATCCATGGGCTAGCAAGTACTCCAAAACAGTCAAAGCCTGTAAATTTTTTCATTTTCATATTCAAGAGAATGGTAGATTCCAAGAAAGAACAGTAAATACATACAACAAGGATGAGGTAAAACAGAGGTCACCATCAATACCCAAAAATTTGGGGTCGAAGTAAATAATTTATAAATTATATTCCTTAGAAAAAATTTCATCACAGAAATATGTAAAAACAAAAAAATAATGCTCTCTTCAATTTTTAGACGAAGGATCTAGAGAGACCATGGGGAAATAGATAAGAAAGTCCCCAAAAAGTTACAGTAAAAACAAAACAAGAATTTCAATGACAAAATGCAGATTTTCTGTAAACAAGGGGAAAAAGCCTTTGTAGACATGATGCCAATTTTTTCCAGTATCATTGATATGCTTCCAGATTACTGCCAAAATCATCTAGTACTCTTAACTGTTGAAATGAAAAATGAACACTTCATGACCCAAAAAAAATAAAAATAATAATAATAGAGCAGAAAGCACAAAGATGATTAATTAACCTTGATGCCCGAGTAATATCAGAGAGAAGAATTCATGAGGGCCCCAAGGCTTTTGCTAGCGGCATCAAGAACTTGAAACTCAAATGTTAAAACTTGTTAAAGAAATAAATGGAAATAGAAAAGCTATTTTACAAATTAATTGCCTGCAGGAGACAACTTGAATGTTATAACCTTTCCATGGATACAAAAGTAATCATAAGACATTGAAGAAATTTGGAAAATATAAAAGAAGAAAAAATAAAATAAAATAAAAATACCATTCTTTTAAAAGAAGGGACTTTTAAAACTTTTTTTATTAACCACTCTCTTACTACGAGGAAGTAACACACATAAGACAATTTCAGAATTAGGTTGTCTTGTCTCCACACGAATAAAATTAAATTCTAAAGTACATTTGCAACGTAAAAGACAAAGTTTCAGAATTAGTAAATATATGCAGAGATATTCTAAAATTGTTTTCAGCAAAATAAATGATATATTTCAAATATTTTAAACAATTTTGCAATTAATACTTTGATATGATTAATACTCAACAGTAGAGCTGAAGAAATTGAATGAACTAAACACACTAACAAAGAATTAAAGTTTAACCTCAAACGAAATATGAAAAGAAATAAAATATTCAACAGTAGAGTTGAAGAAACCAGAAGAACCAAACACAGAAACAAGAAATTAAAGGTGAAAAAATTGCTAAATACTGAGAAATGAAAAGACTCCCATTCCATATCCTGCTGCCAATTTTCCAATGTCCAGAGATAGAGATCCTTGGTGTTACTATTCGGAATTTTATCAGATACGTCGTTGTGTATTCTTATTCATTCGTTCGTGACTCATAGAAAAATTCATTTTCCCACTGTCATACCAGGAAAGAGAAGTCCCAGCCATACCTTATATATGCCTGTCCTGCCAAGCCACAAAATTTGATCCAGAAATAAGAAAGTGGACAGTACAGCATTTGTAGACTGGAATATACCAATAATGAATCTTAGATGTAACCACATATAAAACGCTACCAGAACTCACCAAAAGGAAGAGCAATGCAAAAGAAAAATAGGCCGTGCATCTACAAGAATAAAACATTTTTTTGAAATAGTAAACAAATTCCCAAAGATCAAACCACACTACGAAGTTATAGATTTGTATCTCACACTGATACTCGTTCAATTCTACATTCAAAGATTTTGTTGATTTGTCTTCATCAAATTTTTCATTATCTTCACCATGGCCATACTAGCAATGCAATACATCAATGCTTCCAGCCTAAAAAAGAAAAATATTGAGTTTTAGATACATTATTTGATGCAGGAGGATCCGAGTCAAGTGATGCTGATTTGTCATATTGCACGATGATGGAGTTGAGATACCATGAGATGGCGGATCGGCGCAAAGATGGAAAGTAAATCACCATTATTTCCTTAATTAGGAGATTTTGATGCGTCTTTGGTAATTTGGCCATAACTTTGGCTACGGTTATCGGAATCGCTATTATGACCCCAATTCGGAAAGCTCTCTTCGGCGCGCACGTCGTGGCCACCAGCTATGCTCGGTGGACGTCAATTTCGAGCCCAAAATCCACTGTTTTCCTTTTCAAAATTCAATTTTAAGTTATTTTTTACTAGTTATGGTAATATTTCGTTTCCTTTTTTCCATATGTTAGAAAACTCGAATTGAGCCAAATTTTTGACAACTTACTTCTTTTACTTATTATTTTATTTTGGTATAATTTTGGGATTTTGCCATTTTTGGTAATTTTTCCATAATTTCGTATTTCGCAGCTATTTAACCCGGCTTGTGGGTTAATTTTCATCATTCTGCATTATTAATAATATTGAGTTGAATTCAGAGTCTTTTTTCTGATTTTTTGAGCGTTTTCTATTGTTCTTTTCTTGCGAATCATCTGCTACAACAAGCCAATAGGATAATCACTATCCTACCCGGCGTCAGTTGGTATCAGAGCGTCAGCATCTTCTTGGGAGACAAATTCCATCAGTTATAATGGTTGGTGGACGTGGTCGTGGTCGTCGAGGACAGGTTCCGATTGAGGAAGTCTAACACCGTGATCGTAATGTTCAGGGTGTGACGATTGAAGATTTACAGAGACAAGTTGCGGAGTTAACCTAACGTTTGGCGGAGCAGGAGTTCGGTAATCATGATGTGGAAGGTCATGATTCCGATACCAGTTTCGAAAACCCGTATCACCATCGTGCTCGAGTTTGGGAGCATCGTGGACGGGAGGATCGTCATGTAGATCTCGATTTCAGAGTGGATCTACCCGAGTTTTCTGGTACGTTGCAGGCTGAAGGATTTATTGATTGGTTGAATGAAGTGGAGCGGATTTTTGAATATAAGGAGGTTCCAGATTGTGTCAAAGTGAAACTGGTCGCCATCAAACTCAAAGGTAGGGCATCTGCATGGTGGGAACAGTTCAAGCGCTCACGGGAGCGACAGGAGAAATCCAAAATTACTAACTGGGAGAAGATGAAGAAGAAGATGAAAGGGCACTTCCTCCCTTTCAGCTATACTCAAACCTTGTTTCAGAGGCTCCATTCACTAAGGCAAGGCGCAAGATCAGTCAATGCTTATACTGAAGAATTCTATCAGTTGGTGGCTCAGAATGATTTATCTGAAACGGAGGAACAGATGGTAGCACGGTATTTGGGGGGATTAAGGCAGCCCCTGCAGGATGTTCTCAGCTTTCATTCATTGTGGATAGTTTCCGAGGCATATCAGCGAGCACTTGCAGTAGAGAAACAGCAAAGTAGGAGGCCAGTGGTCAGAGGTGAAGGAAATCAGCCAGTTCGCCCTCAAGAATCTCGTCCTGCTTATCAGCCACAGCGGGATAGTTCCAGCTCAAGTATTAAGTGCTTTAGGTGTGGTGAACAGGGGCATAGGGCGACTGATTGCAGAAAGCCTGCTGGTCAGAAGAATAAAAATCTTCTGATTGAGGAGGATATGATAGAGGAGTTTGAGGAAGTTGGGGAACCCGTGTATGATGAGGGTGAAGATGAGGACGTGCTATATGGAGATGGTCAGGAGACCCTGGTTGTTCGAAAGAGCCTGCTGACTCCCAAGGGCGACTCAGGGGATGATTGGTTGAGGACCAACGTTTTCCACACAACCTGCACAGTTGCTGATAAAGTCTGTAAGCTGATAATTGATAGTGGCAGTTGTGAGAATGTAGTGTCTGAGGAGGCTATCGAAAAACTGCAACTGAAGATGGATCGTCATCCCAAACCATACAAGTTGTCTTGGCTGAATAAAGGCAGTGAGGTAACGGTAGAAAAACGATGCTTAGTGTCTTTCTCAATTGGAAAAAAATATTTTGATAATGCTTGGTGTGATGTGGTATCAATGGACGCCTGTAATGTTTTGTTGGGAGGACCTTGGCAGTATGATCGCAGTGTTATCCATGATGGGCGGAAGAATACTTATTCTCTTAGTATCAAAGGAAAGATAATTGTTTTGGTGCCTCGCAGGGAAGGAAACATCCCTGCCCCGGTAGTTAAAAACCTCAATCTACTTTCTATGTCCAGGTTTTTGGTTGAGGTTGGGCGTGAAAAAATAGTTTATGCTTTAATGCCTCGTGAAAATAGTACAGCGAGTGTGGATTCAGAATTTCCAGCAGAAGTACAGCAACTACTGATGGAATTTTCTGACTTGATGCCAGAGGATCTTCCTCCAGGACTACCACCTACGAGGGACATTCAACATCAGATCGACCTCATTCCGGGGTCGAGTCTACCAAACCGACCAGCATATCGCCTCAGTCCCAAGGAAGCTGAAGAGTTGCAGCGACAGGTGGTAGAATTATTGGAAAGGGGCTACATTCGTGAGAGTATGAGTCCTTGTGCAGTTCCTGCTCTCCTAGTGCCGAAGAAAGATGGGTCATGGTGTATGTGTGTTGACAGCAAGGCAATTAACAGGATTACAGTGAAATACAGGTTTCCAATTCCCCGTCTGGACGACATGTTGGATCAATTGTCCGGTTCTAAGGTCTTCTCAAAAATTGACCTTAAAAGTGGATACCACCAGATCAGAATTAGACCTGGAGATGAGTGGAAGACCGTGTTCAAGACACAGCATGGGTTGTACGAGTGGATGGTCATGCCCTTTGGACTATCCAATGCACCCAGCACTTTTATGAGGTTTATGCATCAGGTTTTACGGCCTTTCATGGGGAAGTTTGTGGTAGTTTATTTTGATGACATACTTATTTATAGTCTGACATGGGAGTCACATTTTAATCATCTTCGTGCTGTCTTTGATGTAATGAGGACGGAGCGCTTATTCATCAATCAGAATAAGTGTTCTTTCTTCACAACTTCTGTAACTTTTTTGGGTTTTATTGTGTCTACTAATGGTGTTCATATAGATCAATCCAAAATTGAGGCAGTTTTGAATTGGCCGAAACCAAAAACTTTGTACGATGTTAGGAGTTTCCATGGATTGGCATCCTTCTATCGTCGATTCATCAGAAACTTTAGTACCTTAATTGCTCCTATCACAGAGTGCCTTAAAGGGCATGATTTTCAGTGGACTGAGGAGGCAGAGGCTAGCTTTCAGTTGGTTAAGCAGAAGATGACGGAGGCCCCAGTCTTGGCACTTTCGAATTTTGAAAAGGTGTTTGAGGTAAACTGTGATATGTCTAGAGTTGGCATTGGTGGTGTTTTGAGTCAGGAGGGACGTCCAGTAGCCTTTTTTAGTAAGAAGCTATCGGGATCGAAGAAAAATTATTCCACTTATGACCTGGAGTTCTATGCCATAGTTCAGACTCTGAAGCATTGGCGCCATTACCTGGTACAGAGGGAGTTCATCCTTGTTACTGATCATGAGGCTTTGAAATACATCAATGGTCAGCACAAGTTGAGTAGGCGACATGCAAAGTAGGTGGCGTACTTGTAGGAGTTTACTTTCACACTCAGGCATCAAGCA